CCCCCCCCCCCCCCCCCCTCGGGGCGATTAATCGCCTGCTATCGGCGCGCGTAGCGAATCTTCCGATTAGGGTCGCCGATGTTAGAAAGTATCGACTTTTTATTTCGCTTTCAACATTGATTGTGTGTGAAGACTATAATGATATATTTACACACTCACACATACAAATTAGATTTAAGGAGAACAAACGAATATATACGATAATACACTGCTTAATCTGGCTTAATCATTTCAGTATTTTCTTGTTTTATTTTTATATTTTTTATGTTCTTTTATTTTTATATCTATACATTTTATATCCCGTTTTATCTTTTATATTTTATTCTATTCTTACTTCTTTTAAATAAAAAAAAAAAAAACACGCAATTCTCTTGGCATGATTGCCTGATTAGTCAGGCAATATCTCTCTCGATGAGCGTATTATATCGATCTTATCCATCCAAAGAATACCAGTAACATCTTATCTATCGACGATCATTAAAGAGTAGCCTATCGACTAAATTGAAGAATATCTCTAGAGAGCCGGTTAATCCTTATCCGATCGTGAAAGCTAATGACGCGGGATGTACATTGACGAGTTTAATCAATTCAAATTATCGTTATTGATGGATCTTGGACGTCGCTATTATACTGCTATTATCTATCCACATTGCGCAAAATATTATATTTAAAAATTGAATTTTAGAATGAATCGCATAATATCGGATGTTTCTTCCTGCGTATTTACGTTGTTGTTTTTATTGGCGCGACGCGGCGTTTGTTTTCTTTGCTTTTCTCCAAACAGTTATCAAAGCGTACGCTAACGCGGTTGATTTCACGTCATCATTATGAATGTCCATTGTGGACGAGAGAGGATCGTATCTCGAAGCGAGTCATGAATTTTCGAAGCTTTCGATTCTCGCTACGGGAATGCGAGCCCCTCGTCGTACGCCGCATTAATCCAGGGGTGCCTCGAGCATAACTATCCCGGTTTTAATGAGGTTTAACGAGGGCTTCCTTTCTTATTTTCAGCTTTTGTTTACCATCTGGAGCGACTCTCGATTTATCGATCTCTCGCGTGTTTCTGCCTCCGCGTCCATAGAATCTAACGTGCTTCGGAATTAGACGCGCACCCTCGAGTTGTTCACGGCTTATCCGACGAAGGGAGAAATGGGACGATTTATTGGTCTTTCTTTTTTTTTTACGCGCGCATTTTTCAATAAAAATCTAGATATATATTGTTTATGGCATTCTGAATTCGAATGTAAGTCCTGCTTCAATTTTACGTGATATATTCTACATATCGAATATTTATGATCAACAAGTTTAGTCATGATAGGATATAAGAAAATTGAATTTCTCAACATTCATAGACAATTATACAGAAATATTTAAAAAATATAAAAAAAATATTAACAAGTTAATTTTAAATATCAGGATATAAATATATCAAAAAATTTCAAAGTGTCGCTTAGTAATTGATACAGCCACCGGTACAAACAGTGTTATAAAACTATTAAAATGTTAACTATATATGAAAAAAAAAAATCCAAGGTATAGAAAGTCTAATAAATTATATAGTTAATCGAATAACACTTTCTGGCCAAAGGCTGATTGGCAAATGAAGAGATAAAAATTTGCTCGAGCGATATAAATCTAAATACCGTGACCATACCTGTCATTAGGTAGTAATTTGATAAAAATGCCTCCTGCCGTTCGTCGACGACCGGTCTACGAGCAGCGCGACAAAGACGACGTCGCTGTCTTTTGAGACGTCACGATCTCCATAAAGAAACAGAAAGGACGCAGCCGTAAACCAACACGCGGAGGGATACGAGAGGAAGAGGGTGAAAGAGCCCCGGCTTTGGAGAGACGAGAGACGGAAAAAGGGAGAAGGCGCGCAGCCGCCGGGGCAGATTTAATAAAAGCATCTTTATTGCCAAACGCGAATCTCCGGTCGGTGGCGGTTATATAGTTGCACGCGCGCGCATCGTCTTTACGACGAGCGATTAAAATTGGTATTAACACTCTAACGTTACTCCGCAATAATCCCGATCCCGTCGCTGTCGGCAGGCCGCTGTCGCCATTACCGCTCCTCCTAAAACGACCCGGAATGACAATTTTGTGCTTTATTTCGCAGCACTCTCCCGGTACTTTTATCGGACGACGCATATCCGACGACGATGATGACCGGTGGTCGCGGCCAAGTTATATAAGTTTCCCTTATGATACAGGCAAGTTCCTGCGCTTTAAGGGACGATCGTAACTCGATAAAATAGGCAGTAATGTTTCTGTATGATCGATATGAACAGAATGATTATATAGGAAATAGTAGTCGATTGATGATAGTTTATAAAAGAATCGTTTGTCATAGATATATAATGAATTAAAAAATTATTATTATACACATACGAGTATGTGTATGACGGATAAGCCAAGTATATAAATATATACAAAATTAATTTTCAAAGATGTTTACATACAAATGAAAAAGGCAAAATGACAAACGACGAGATACGCATTCAAATAAAAATGGAAAATATGTTGCCGATAAAAAAGAATTTATTTTGTAATACGATAATGATTTGTTTGTTTTTTTTTTCGCGAGAATACGTGAATTCCGTGGATATATACATTCAATCCATTTTATATACGTGTCGAGAGAACATACAGCTTCACGAAAATAAAGGCTCACGCGCGTCGTCGGGACGCTATTCGTCGAATCCCGGAATCGCG